TACACTTTATAAGCAGGAATTTGAAAAAAAAAAGAATTAAACCTTCTGAAATTGCTATAGAAAATTTATACATATTTGTTTAATGTGGATATGCTTGTAAACGTGTTTTAATGTTCCTCCATTTCATATGAGCAAAAACAAATAGAATGAAGAGTAAAATCAACATAAATAGAAAAACGGACAATTCCTTTTTATTTCTTATTTTTTTATTAGAAGGAAATTTAAGCACAACAACACAATCATGAACTTAAAAATAAAATGGCTATAAAATGTTTTTAATCCTTTTTTTATACAAAAAAAGATGAATTTTTTTTAATAGCAAAATTTATGTGAAAAATTTAAGAGCTACCGGATATGATATGTCATGTTCGAATTTTCAATTCAGAAAGAATGACAATTTGTTCATTTTTATTTTTTCCTGTTTTGTATACAAATATTTTTTATGTTTTAGAGAATTTTTTTTTACAATAATAAAAGTGAGTCGTGTCGTGTGATAATTATGCAATATTGTTTGACATCACGGACATATTTGTGTTTTTTTTTTCTAATTTTAATTACAATTTTGTTATTATATAAAATTTAACCCGTATTTTTTAGTTCTTATCACAAAGTTAAAATTTATAAAAAAATTATTTCAAAATTGTAATAAAATAATGCATAATAATTTGAAAGGATGAAAAATGAATTTTTTGGAAGCATAAAAACTAATTAAAAATTTTCCATTCATAACTTTCACATGCGACGCCATGTTTTTTTTTTTTATAAAATGTTTTTTTTTTATAAAATTGCATAACGCCTATTATTTTATCAACATGATGATCACGTGTTGGTTTATTTGAATGTGATAAAAATAACTAAAAAAATATGATAAAAAAAATAAAAATAAGTGAAACTGGATACTATGGTTTTGCTTATGTAAGAATATAAATTGGTGGTCAAAGGATTTTTGAGTTAACAAAAATTTAAACTTTTGTTTATAGAAAGAAGGTTACTCAGAAAATTCAAATCAATTTTGTGTGATCTCAGAAATAAAATTTTGGACAACTTATTAGACTATTAAAGTTTTATAATAGTTTCATAAGTTGTCCAACATTTAAATTGTTCTTTAAATCATAAATTTCTTCAAACTTTGAGCTCGAAATTTTCTTTCTTTAGTTCAATGTTTTATAAGCCTGTGAAAGGTGTATAAGAATTTATATCGTCCCGCTAGACAGAGTTCGGACTCCCTTGATTTACCAGTATTACAACAAAAAGATTATTTTTGTCTATAATTCGTTTACGTATAATGAAAATTGACTCATATTAACAAATAGTTGCCCCATTGTAGAGTATTTGTAGATACTTACGTATATTGACTCTCCTATAAACAATGTTCGAAAAAGTTGTTGAAGTTGGGTTGAATACTTTATGAAACTAAAAAAAGGACTCCTCAAATAGCATTAGAATACAGGTACATAATGTTACATAATGGATTATCAATATATTAATAATTTGTGCGTAATTTACCAAATATTAAATGCTAAGTAATATTTTAAAATTTTATTTTAATATTTAAGAGTTTGATAACCACGTCACTCTCTTTCCTCTGACAAAATTTTTGCATTTCAACAAATGGATACTGTAATTATCTGATCTTGCCCTAATAATAAATCAATTTGCATAAATACTGTTTTGAGTTTAGTTCAAGAATTTTTCAAAAAGTTTACAAATGTATTCTTCATGTATGACTTTATTTCTTAATCAAATCGATATCACATAAAAATATTTTAAAATTTGTGTTTATACAAATGTGTGCCATTGTAAATGTCATCCAAATAATGTACCTTTTAACATTCATATATACATTTTGTAGATACAACATCAATTGGTAATTATATTCAGTGTGTAAATTTTACATTGAAGCAGCGAGGAAAAAAATTAATAAAGGGAGAGGAAAAAATGATTCTGAAACGATTTATTTACTTTTCGAATGCATAATGGACGTTAATGCATGTTCGTGCGGAATGATTAAAGTAAAAAATAAAAAATTTTCCTGAATTGTTTGCTTGATGAAAATATGTATATGTACATACAATTTAAAAAATTACATTTTTAAGCAAATTAACTTTAGATCAATGCGCAATGCCTCTTAGGTAGATATGAGAAAAATTTTTTATGTTGAATTTGACTTATTGCAAGATTTTTGTTTTGTTTTATATTGAACAATGAAATTGAATTAATGAACTATTCAAATTCTATACTTAACTTTGTAATTACATTAATTGCTCGTCTTATTATTGTAATAAGTCGAGCAATTCATAATGTCGTCTTATATTATTAAAAAAATATAGTATATTAGAATTAATTTTTCTAATATTAGCAAAAATGAGTGTTTACATTTCTAGTAGTTCAGCTTAAGTATGAAAACGTGACTTAAATTATGTTTTAAATTTTTTTCTCGTCTTATTGATAACGAAATTTTTATTGATAACGAAAACTATTTCCAAATAAAATATGTAAAAATTTGATTTTTAATGTCTTTTATTTTGCGGATTAGAGTAATTTCAACAAAAAACCGATTTCTTTATTAAAAATTTGAAGCTTGGTTTTAAATCCTTTCACATCAAAATTGGTAATACCTTACCAATTCGTTTTACATTATTTTAAGAATCACAAAATTAACTGGACGATCATAATTCCTTTTGCATATATACTTTAACATTTTAAAATTATGTAGTATTAAAAACAGTATAAATTCTTTCGAAAGTTCCGAGGTTCCGAGACAACAATCCAAATACATACATACTTACGTATATATACATATTTTTTTTATCTGTATTTTAAGCGCTGTATAATGAAAGAAAAAAAAATTAATTTTTCCAATAGTTTTAGAAAAAATTCCTTGAGGAACCAATTGCTTCAAAAATTTTTCTGACAAAATTAGATATCAACAGTTATTCAGTTCTTGAGATCATGGATTTTACTAAGGCACTGAAATATAGATATATGTATGTATGTCATGTTATACACTTTTGAAACGAAAATTTATTATAGTTTTATTACCATTTCGTTTCAAGTTGAAAATGAAACATCTGCACATTTTAATATCTACATTTCATATTTAAAAGTTCATGTTTCTTATTTTGATATAAAACGCACGTTTAAACAAATTTAAAGCTATAGATACCTGAGTGAACTTATTCAGTTCCGATTACTACTAATTGCAATTGGAAAAAGTGTATATCTTATTTGATATAGAAAAATATGTTAAAATTTTAATACTGTGTAGCATTTAGTAGCAACATTTTAAAATTTTAACTTTGTATACTATATTTACTAGAATTTCATTAGTTAAGGTTTTATTAAAACAACTTCAATAGTGTTTTACTCGAAATGGTAAAAATGTAAGTATCATGTTCTGATAGAAAACCATAGATATTATATAAATTCAACACACAGTTACTTATAGTAAATTTCTCTTCGATTGTTTAAAAAATAAATCTTGTTTGTCCAGTTAAAATTTTTAATATTTTTTTAAAAAAATGGTGTGAATGAAAATCGTGACCAGATGAAATTATAGATTTAAAGATTTTGTTTGCCAAAATTGAAGTATCAGTGATGTTTTTAAAGATTCGTATATTCACAAGTAGTTCGTGATAAAAGTCAAAGTACAGCACGAGTATACGATTCATCACTGTGCAGCCTAAGCTCCAGGCTCTTCAAGAACACAAGGATCTGCTGACAAAAATTAAAATTTATGACAAAATCCGTAACAAATTCTCAGTACAAAATAATAAAATGCATTTATATTATGTACGTTAGTTCTTTAATAAAACGTGAAAATTTTTTTTTTTTAAATAAGTTTAGTTTCGCACCAAAGACCGCTTATTATCATGCCCTTACACAGTTTAATATTTTGTAATTGATTCACAAAAACATATTGCAGACGACTCAAAAGTGGTTACAAACTCTATATCAAAATTAATATACCTTTCACGAAGGTGTAGGCTATAATTAATTACATTAAAACAAACAATATAACCAGTGCTCAAAAGTTTGTATCCTAAAATGGACAAGCTTTAATTTAAAATTGTGAAATGTCAAAAAACATTGTTATGGTCCAGAAATGACTCCTGTGTTTTTTGTTTTAAAAAAATTTTTATTAAGGAGGTTCTATTTTAGTTTATCGCACTTTTTTAAGCAATTAATTAGAAGTCAAAAAAGATGATTTCATCAAATTATTTTTTTTTGCCCGATTTTTTTTCTTAATTGCTTCCCCCTTCTTAAGTGCTCTTTATCAATGTTTTTTAGAGGTAATCTAAGTAGTTTATGCAATGTCAGGAACGAGACTTGATTTTTATTAAACGTAAACTTTTTTTTGGAAGTATTATTTTTTTTAAAAATCAAAGATTCATCAGTGCATTAACAAATTTCAGAGTTTTGACTAAAGAGGTTTACTTAAAGAATGATTTGTTTGTTGTTTTATTCTCGATTCTTCTAATAATTAGAAAATAGATTTTCTTCATGATTTTTTTTATGTGTGGATTTTTTTGGTTAAACGTAAGTATACCTTTTTTAATATTTTCAATCCCATTATAATGTTAAAATGGTTATTTTTTCTGAATAGATGATACTGCATAAATTGGAAATGTACCTAAATTAATTTAGAGTGTGTTAGAAATGTTTTCCATCATTTGCAGCGCACATTTTTTATTGTTTTTTCGAATATTTATAGGTATATAAAGGTCTACATACTATAAAATTAATTACTGAGTCTTTTTTTGAATCGGTCGTTTTAGTGTTTTAATGAAATGTTTTTCAATCAAATTTTAAAATTAGAAGATTTCTCCCAACAAATCCCTGATGTATTAAATTCAATTTTAATTTTTTTTTTTCTTATAGCAAAGTGAACACAGCAAGTATATTATGTATGTATATATAATTGTTATGAAAAAATTTGCAATGTTTATAAAAAAATAATTTAATATGATGATATATTTATGATAAGTGTAAATACTTACAATCTTTCAGTTTCAGCTGGAATTTTTCTTGGTATTAGCGTTAAACTACGATGTGAACAATCGACTGTTAATCCATTACATTTACATACTCTTGGGCATCGTGTTTCTGTTATTAAACCAGCACCATTATTAGTGCCACCACTGTTACCAATTAAACCAATACCAAAATTATTATCATCAACTGGTATATGTATACCTACACCACTATGATGATATGGCTCCGCAATAACAATTAAATTTAACAATATTTGATTGGTAAAAATAAATAACGTTACACCTGTTAATAGGCGGGTGTTAAACACCCCAACTAAGTGGGGGCGACGTATATGCATTTTTTTTACATAAATATTAAATAATTTTCCGTAAAATTTTTATATATTTAATATCCTAAGTATAATAATACTGTGGACGATTGTTGTTGGTATAATTAGGTTGTTTCTCCTCGTTCATTTATTTCACGATTTTATTTTGCTTTTCTTATTTTTTTTTATTAGGATATTGTAGAACTGAAAATTAATTTGTTAATTATAATTTTGTATTTAATAATATTAATTCAAATCTTTTTTGGTTTTATTTACTTTACGAAAAAATATGATTTATAGGTTGTCGTGCACCTAGATACGTACAGATAAATTATACATTAAAAATAAAATGTAATTAAAATTTGTAATTTTTAAATTAATTCTTAATTTTATATCTACAAATAATTTACTGCATTTCTAGCATTAACAAAAATAAAAATCTGCTGGATTTATGATTATACTTTAGTATAGTAGTAATAGTCATTAAATATAATATTCACATTAAGTAATAGATACTAGTTAATGTTCATAAATATTTGACATTGGAAAACCAATGCATTTCACCATTTAACTTGTAAGAATGTAAATTTAATAATATTTCAAAACTTTAACATAATTTATTTGAGAAAAGAATCTAAACTATATTTTTAATGTTTGGAATTCTCTATACCATTTAAAACTTCTTCCCAAACTGCAAGGAAATTTTTAATTAAAATATTGTAAGCTGCGATAGCAATTTTATGCGAAAAGCCTGTGGTAATTTTAAATGGAAACTCCAAAATTTTCCATATGATGCATGAAAAAAATTGAAATTATTTAAGGAATATTTGAACTTTTGCTACTCCTAAAATTATGTATACTGTTTACCAAAAGCATTTTGTAAAAAAAAAGTATGTGTTTGGGTTCCTAAATAAGAAAAATGATATTATACCTGTTAATTATTACAATGACCCCGAGCAATGGTCTAGAAAATTGGTAGCTAGGAAGATTTATTTAGCGTTTAATCTGAATTTATTAAATGTTTATAACTTCTTCGGATATTCATTATTTGACAAATAGTCATTCCCGCAATCATTCGCATTACACTTACATATTGATATTCTATCAAATTCACCAAAAATTTAATAAAAATTCAGTAATATTTTAAATTTCAAAAGGAAAGTAATTTTTTAATAACGAACCTTGTGAGCAGGTTTTCTAAAAAATTAAATTTTGAGAGCACATTGGCCCAAAATCAATTTAAGGAGCCTTAACTTCACGTTCAAATAAAATTTATTGTTTATTACATTATTTGAATGCAATTTTGGGAAAAATTTTTAAAAACTGAGAAATATAGATTAATGTAAGTAAGGCAAAGTTCGGGAACAACTAGAACAGTGATTCCCAAAGTGGTTTATATAGAACCTAAGGGGTCAATAGAGACCTGCTAAGGAGCCTGCAAAAAATCGTGAATTCAATTAAATAAGTATTAAGGGGGTCTATCAAAAATTCAAAAACACGACAAGGGGTCTACGAGGGGGAAAAGTTTGGGAACCTCTGAACTAGAATGATATTGAGGAATAAAAATTAATGGTTTAAAACGAATAATGAATAACAACTATTTATTCAAACAAAGTGAATGAAAATCAGTAGTTTGTTGAAAGTAAAGTTTAAATATACATTGACATTTCACTTCAATAAAATTAATATTGAAAAATTTAACAATTAAAAATTTTTTTAATTTTAAATTGAGGTTATCATTTTTTTGTTCAACTTTTATTGTATTTTCCTCTTGTGATTGTTGTTAATTATTATTCAATTATTTGTAAATTTTTTTCAATTATTTTTTATCTATTTATTATTTAAAATTATTTTTTTCTTGGTTAAAATGATACTGTTTTTTTATTAAATTTTCAACTTACTATTATTACTTTTTAATTAATGCAAATATGATTACTTTTTTATTTATTTGCATTAATCTTATTGTTAAATATGAAAATTTCTAAGTATTTGTTTTTAAAATAATTTTTTTTCGCTTTGAATTATAATGCAGGTTTTTTTCAAGATGCTCGGCTCTTGTCAGTATTAATTTTTTTATTTAGTTTATTAAATTTTATAAAAATTATTTAACACTTAGCTACATAAAAAAAAGCAGCACAAAAATAATTCCTAAGAGGAAAAATATTTGAAAATTAAGAAACAGAGAGCAGAAAAAAAATGAATTTTAATTTGATCAGAATTTTAGCACGAGATTTTCTTTTTTTTTTAATTCACTTGTTCAAAAAATATTTTATTTTGTTAAGTTTTTTCCCGCTTTCAATTTATAACTATTAAACTTTTTATTTATTGTACTTGAATTTTCATTTTGTATTTAAATTCAATTAAATTAAATTTTTATTTGTTTTGTTTTATTTTTAAAATAACAATTTTCGTTTATAGTACGATTATAGTTCGACTCTTCGTTTTTGCTGTTGTTTTTTATTTTTACTATTCGTTTATTTTACTGTTATATAATTCACATTCAATTGCTTTACCCGTTTAAATTTCGTCCCACACCACCGCACTTGAAATATTTTGTCATGTGGTTGAAAACTTTTTATATTTTACATACATACATACATATGTATTACATATAATATGTATGTATGTATTTCCTAGAGTGCCACAACACGGGTGATGATTATGTTCTCTAGCAAGTTAAAATAGTACGAATTCAAGCAAGCAAGAAATTTTTAGAATTAAAAAAAAACTAGTAAAAAAAAGTTCGTTGTGCTTTCAAGAGTTTCCAAAACTAAAACATTTTTTTAATAATAACAAAAATTATCGTATCTTTTAAAATATCGCAAAAAGAAGAACGGTTGCTTCTGAGTTGTTGTTATTGTTGAAGAAAATATCAATTTAAAATAAAAATGTTAAATTCTGCTGAAGTTGAAAATAAGAATGATGTTTTGATGTTTTTGTTTCAGATTGGATTTACTGTCTAACTCTCTGTATTATAATAGAAGAGGTTGTGTATAAAATATTCTTTTATTTCAAGCAAAAGCTAGTTTTTGCACTTCTTGTGTTGCCGTTTTTGTTTATTTTCTGATATTTATTTTTATTTCGTATTATGAGTTGATTGCTTGTTGATGAGCGACTGGGATAAAATAAATTGCTCGCGACGGTGAAGATTTTATATACAGTTGAATTCTGTAATTGTTTTATGTATTTTTAGGCTACTTAAGGTTTTTTTTCTTTTTATATTCTTTCATTGTATTTATGTTATGATTGTTTTGTATTGTCATTGTGCAACAACTTACGTTAAAACATTTTTATGTAGAAAACAAAAGAAAGAAAAAAACTGATTTAATAATGATTCTCAACCGCTTTATGTTATTCTACATCTACAAACACACATATGTACATTGAAGATGGAAATTAGATTATACTTTGAAAAATATACATATTTAGTTTTTTTCTCAAACTGCTTCAGAAATTAAATGAATGTGCCTTAAGTAGTAGCGGATCGGATTAGTTGAAAATACTTTACTGATTCCTTAAAGGTATTCCAACTTATGTTTGTTTTTTTCTTGCTTTGGTTTTTTTTTAATTATGGTATAAGTAATCTCAAAATATGGAGAAAAAATTAAAATCTATAGTAATAAATAATTGCCTTTTGTTCGTCATCGGATTTTGATATTGATGATAGTTACATTGATAGTGATGATTATGAAGATTGGTAATGAACAATGACACTACATCCTGAAAATGAAAATGAAAAAAAAAATTAGAGAATCGGAATATTGTTGAATAAAGCATATTATATAATTATATGTAAGTAAATCAAAAACTAGACAATTTTAAATTAATTTAGTTTCGTTTTAAGTGAATTCTAATGAAACTGAATTTTGTAGTTTAAAATTTTTAATTTTTTATTTACATCATTTGAAAAAGGTTTGTTTTTCACCACGCTAATTAATTTGTTTAAGACGTTAGTACCCAAGCATCAATTAATATGCAAAATTATATTTCACAAATTAAAGTAAGGAAAAAAGTGGAATAAGAAGAGTTCGTGTAGATAAAAGAGCTTATTAATATAAGATATTCAATATGATTATTTAAAAATTTTATATTTTCTCGAATATTAAAAAAAATTTTAATATATAAAAAAGAAACCTCGTTTTATTCGATGTCGAATATTTATTTGTATAACAGTAAAACAAAGGAGTAGAATCTGAACTGAGATATCTTGGATTAGCTGTGATTCATTAATAAAAATTTCTAAGCAAAAGTTTTAGCGTTTTCCACATGTTATATTGTAGAAAGCGATTCTTTATAATTGGTTCGAAAATGTTTCTTTCTTATTATTATTTTACGAAAATGGATCGTACAATAAAAAAATCTGAGATGATCAGCACATAACCGACCACAATATATATATATTATCTTCGTTAGTGAAAGTGATACAGAAGATTATATACACTTCTTTGCAATTTAAAGGCAATAGTAAGCTTTTACTTTACACAATTAGAAAAATGTAAATTTGGCTCTTAGTAGAATAGAGACCGACATCTCTCTAAAAATAGTTTATTTAGGCTTCCCTATTATGCAGACTCGATATGCAAAATTGCTGTTTGTAGTTTAAATAGCGGACAATAAATAATTTTGAGTATAGAATTCGAATCTGCTTTTATTCTAAATATAATGAACAAAAAACGCTTATTCCAAAAGAGGGGGGTTTCTTTATGTAAATCCCGAAATCAAATCTTTCATATATTTTTTAAAGATTTTCGATTTTCAAAAACATTTTATAAATTTTTATGGAATAATTTATATTCAATTTCGTCATTACATATTGCATTTATCACTTTTATCAACACTCACCTACACTTTTTATGTTCTAAGGGTATTACAAATTTGCCCTACCGTTTGTAATGCTAAGAAATAATGATTGCGCTCTGATATGGACATAACTTATTGACATGTTATTGATCAGTTGAATTCTAAGATGACTTAAACATGTCTGTCTGTCTCTTCCAACGATAACTCAAAAACTAATTGATCTAACCTCACGAAATTTTCGCAGATGATTTAAAATTGTCGATTCCGGAATCTTAAATTGGATGTCGTCGAGGCATCAATTGCTTGGTATTCGGCATTGTCTCAGAAATTATAAAAGCTATAATATGGAATTTTATATTTTATGGAAACATATATTAGGGCTGTATGTGAGATAAAAATCGTTGAAATTTTTTGGCTCCTTATACAAAATTTATATTTATTTGATCATATCTTACAAACTACTTAAGGTATATATTATCGAACTTTTGTATA